GTCTGGTTTCAGCAGACCTTAAAACGCTTTTATAAACATTTTTAATCACAAAATTTGGTGTTATGTTAGGTTTTCTTTAGTTATTCATCGTAGTAACCGCGAAATCGAAACACAGTCAATTGTGCGCGCGATGTAGGCTACCTTTTTTCATTCTGAAACTACCGACGGAGCCGCATGCAATAAAATAAATTTCAATCGTTCGTATTTTGCCCAGACCTTGTGATTTTTTAAACTCGATATCTTGCCTAAAAATAATCTCGAGTGCGAAAGAACAAATCAAGTTTGACAAATCCCAAGATGGCAAAATTACGACTCCAGTCTTATTTATAGTTGGCAGTTTATCACGTATTTTATATTATTTTAGAATAATATTCTTCCATTTTAGTAATCCAAATAGTAATCTCGAATCAAACGTGAATAACGATGAGCACAAATAAATTATAACGACAAGACACTTTAAATGCTCGCATCGGTCCTGGATTGAATATTTTACGCAACACAAATCTTTTTATCCTTTTTAATCGCGAAGAATGTTGCGTGGAGATTTCCTATTCCAATTTTGAACCCCCTCTCTCCTAAGAATTCTGGCTGCGCTCCTTCTTATAAATAATGTCATTTTTAATTCCGCCTCTTTGCCATATTTCGAAACTATTTGTCAACTTTTTTTAAAGCTGTTATTGCTCATTTGAACAGTTACAAAATTAGCCAAGTCAGTATTTTGAAAAGTAATCGAATAGCTCGCGGAGCCCCTGGGTTTCTCTCGCGGAGCCCTGGGGCTCCGTACGTAGCACTTTGAGAACCTATGTTATAGAGGATCATTATGAAAAGCTCTGTGATGCTTCTCTCCTATTCATAATAAATATAGAACTGGATTTAAATATAACAGGAGACATATCACTTACTTGTCTGTAGTTTTATCTGTCGACCTTCCAAAATATTGAACTAACCAATAATGTCTTTCAGACTGAATACATAATGTAACCAATCGAAGTTTTTGCAGCTAATCTTTGCATAACTCATAACTTTATGCACTAACTCATAAAGCATTTGTTTGCCCTCATGTCGCTGAAGCGCAATAAAAAGTGCATGGGCAGTTTTAAACTAGACCTTCTATCAAACACTTATCAGAAGCTTATGATTCATTAGCAAAATAAAGTTTTTATTATGTTTTCGAAAAAATTGGACAGATATAGAGTATTGCTGGGTAATTCAGCAATAGCCCTGTTATCAAGAGGCCTATAAATGCCCTACATATAACAACATGTATAATTTGGCATGATATATTGTCATATCCAAGTCGATGATTTGAAATATCTGGTAAAATTTTATTATGCACGTTTGTCTCTTAGCAAACATTTTAATAATTAACCAGTCCTACATATAAATGTCAAACCAGAGGAGTAAACTTCATAATTAATTACATAGAATGGAAATCACATTATACCATGATATCTAAACGTGAATAAATATGGTACGTTTTGTATTAGTTCTATAAATAATTTATATTATCTAGTTAAATGCAGTATATTGTACGTAATATTTGGCAGGATATTTTCGTATCCGTATATAAGTCCGTATTCTGTTTCATTATAATGGACCAACATGACAGTACGCTGACAGAACAATAACAAAACAATACAGTTCTTTGCTTATCCTATACCAGGGGCGGGCAACCCCTGACACGCGTGCCAAACTTGGTACGCGAGCCCATTTATTCGGCACGCAAGCGAGGCCTTGGAAACGAGATCATTCTCCTTAAAAACTCTCCTTGTTTTTATCTACTCATGCTTGTGAATCTCTGTTCTCAGTTATGAACTTTCTTAAGTCTCGTAACCAGAATAGTCTGAAAGATGAAACTAGTAGTTCGTGTATTTCGTTGCAAGTTACAAAATATAAACCCAATGTGAAATCTTTATCAGCGGTAATGCACCAACAGCAGTAGTCTCACTGATATAGATTATTGAATACGAAAAGTAACCGAGTCTCTTTGTCGCTCTGATATTTTCCGAATAGTGAATCTGTCTGTACATGTTAGGTTTATTGTTGTGTATTTTTCATTTGGACGTAGAAAAGCATTGTTTTTAATTTTGGTCGGCACGCGGAAGAATTTTGTCGTTAAATTTAGCCGATTTTGGCACGCGAGTCGAAAATGGTTGCCCACTCCTATCCTATACGTATGTTCGGGATAATGTTCTTTTGTTCACAATTTATGATAAATTCAATTACCTTTTCGACATATTTAAACGAAACAACATAATTAACAAAATTCAATGTAACAATAAAAAACAATCTTGAATGTTTAATTTTTCTACACCTTGCTTACAATAAAACAGATTTGAAGCCTGGAATATTACACGAATATCAGATAATGAGGTTAAACGAACTACAAAAAATAGTGCCCCGTAGATTTGATGTGAAAACATGAGGGTTTTCAAGCTTTTAATAACATAACCGTACATTAACCAGCACGGACATATTTCTTGGCTGTATTGCATTTTGTTGAAATAAAATTTGTATATGTGTCAAATCTTAATCTTTCAGATTGGAGAAACAATGAAGATTAGCTTATACAAATATGGCGATTCTATATGTAGTTCGAAATTCTTGCCACATACTAACAAAAATATATTCTGTAACGTTTCGTCTGACCAAAGATAGAATCAGAACAGAACCACTCATCAATCGGCCATAGTACAAAGATAAATGAAAATGGCCACAAACCTAGTGATCGGAAAAATTCGGTCGTGTTTGCTCTGGTTTTAGAGGTTCCTGGAAATTTATACATAAAAGTGTGTGTCTATATTGACTATGTTTTACCAGCACTCTTTCAATTGTTTGCACGATCATAAAAAGTTAGGATCGTTCACAGAGACAGCACAGGGAAAAGCTGTCAACACAAGGTGAGGCAAATAGCGTACTAGCATCGATACAACTTTGAGAGAACTTTACGAAAGAATTCATTCGCATGTTGTAGGATTTTAGATTTAAAAGGAATCTTCTAGTATGCCTTTTTAATTCAGCAGAAGTTGTTCATGTGAGAAATATGTTTTATTTTCACCGGGGATCGGGAAAACTTGATTTTGGGAAATAAAAGAGGCGGTAAAAAGTAATTGTGACACAAGGAGGTAGATTGAATTTGACCAAAACTACACACTACTGTTCGGGGTTCGATTAATAAGAAATAGTCGCACATTCTGTCAAATACTATGTATGTCTAAGGTTGCAAAACAAAGCAAATAATCTATTTCTCATGTAGTCCGCATGATATGTACTTTAGAAATTATTAGGTCACTTTACATACTGTTAAGCTGTAAGAATAGAAAAATAAACTCGATTTAACCAGTGATATGATTCGTATTTAAATTCAGCAACAATCAATTGCAAATAATACTCTGCATAAATGAGAATGATGCTCAGACATACGGACATGACGCTTGCGCATCGCATCGGTGATAGTATGAAACGCTCGCTCGTTGGCTACGGCTCGGCTAAGCATTGATTTTGCTAAAAAGATCGACAGACAAGCGAGACGGAATAAAGTGTTTCTACAAAATTAAATAAAAAGAAACATTTTGATTGAAATATCGGGAATAAAAGGAAATTTATTCAAAGTAATAAAAGCAATTGCCTTCTAGCCAATTTTGCCCACTTCAAGTACTGAAGATTTTGAAATCGATTGGTCAAATAGTAGCAGATAAACACGATTTTCACATCAACAACAACAACAACAAGAACACCAACAACAACAACAAGAACACCAACAACAACACGTTGATAGAACGTCCCATATATGCACACTTTGTGCCCAGAAGGTAATTGATAAAAATCGGATTAGGGTATATAAAATGTGCTGTAATGCAGTTTTACATATTAATCATAAAACTAACATACAATAAATCGTAGGCGTATTTTGTGTATCAGAGCTGTGTTTCAGGAGTAACTCCCGGATTACAAAGTTTGTTTACAATTTACCTTTGTCCTTCAAAACTTTTAAGTTCACTTTATTTATGAAGTTTCGTAGATCGTCAGCGTATGACTAATCACTGTTTACTTTAATACGCAACTTAATCGGGACTAAGAAAATACGTGGCGTGTTGAGGGCGTGTTTCGCCACAAACAGATATCATAATAAAACAATTATATCTCTCTGTGTAATAGTGTTTGTTTTTACCTATACTTTGCGTCAATTGTTATCAACCTCCTTATTGAATTATCAGAAACGAGGAAAGTACATAATAAATAGTGATATAGTGAAATAAATAGTGGAAAAAGTGATAAAAAGCAAATATAATAATTCCAACAAGCGTTCATTTATAATATACAAGAGGCCTTGGAGTAGACAACTTCAATTCCACGCAGGGGATACGACAAGAACACGTATTCAGACTTGTTTGAAGATTTGTCACTAAGTAAACACACTTCTTCTTTTCAAACTGCAATCAGTTTTAACACGCCTTAGAGTCGATTTAAGACAGGAAAGTACATTTCATTGATGGACGTTTAAAAATGATGATGATATTTTAACGTCTAAAACAGCAGGGATAGTCTGGAATATTATTACATTACTTTTTTGCGATAATGTAAATCATAAAGTTTATAATTTTATACGTTTAAGTGTATTGCACGGATCATATAAGCTCATTGTTTGCTCTAAAATTTTAGTTTCTGTATATACTTTATTTAAAAATGACAAATCATGTCATTTTCGAAATCGTTCGAAAAAGTATGTTAGAAAAGTTACTCGTCTGCGTCTTGTCACTGACAGTAAAGTTAAATAAATTGTATCATTGGAACCGCAGAATCTATATTGAAAGTAGTGTGGAAATAACGGCCGTCGAGAAATGCATGTATTAAAATATTGGTAAATTTTTGGTATAATATATGCACTATTATTCAAACTTTGGAAAATGTTGCAATGAAAAATCTCTAGGGTCCTCATCTTCAATAAAATGATGATTTCAGCATTATATATTTTTATTTTCGTTCAAACTTCATTATATTCAGATTTACAGTATATCCAGATTTATCTATTTTACCGAATAAAATTATGGGTTGCTGCACGAAGAAAGCATGGAAGAATTGGGCAAAAATGAACGCCTTGCTGCTGGCAACGCTTGCTGGAGTAATCGTCGGCATCTGTCTTGGTATAGGAATGAGGGAAGCTCATTTATCACAACTTGATATTTATTATTTTATGTTTCCTGGAGAACTTTTGCTCAGAATGCTTAAAATGATGATATTACCATTGATTGTGTGCAGTCTCATAACAGGTAAATATTGAATATTGTTTCCTTGTTTAACTAAATCAGCCACGGATAAACTGAGGCTAACGGCTCGATAATGACTCCCAAAATATTCGGAATGGAATGTGTGCTATTTCTTTAAAAAAAAAAGAAGAGGCATGCTGAATGAAAATTTCCACCAAAATCAATGATCTTGCCCGTCTTTATAAGAACAGACTAATTCGAACTCCTAGCTTGGTATTTTAAGCAATGACCTTACTTTATTGCCTAAAACTCTAGCACAATAAAAATGTTTACGAGTACTTATCTTAGTAGGACAAAACGTAAGTTGACATGTTATTAATAATTCTATGAATTACTGATTTATATAAATGGTGCCAAACTTTCAAAAATATAAGTTTCTTTGCTTGTGCATCTTTGTGTATAGAAAATTTGGAGAAACGTAAAGAGCAACACGTTTTTTTTTACAAATTTTCATTATATTTATCCACAGTAATTAACGCCCGATTTCACCCACCAGATAAATATTTTTAAAAACACCTGGCAAACACTAGATCGTCAATTTATTCAATGTGATGTTTGAATAAATAAATATTTACAACATAATTGATTGCGTGATTTATATTTGATAAAATATTTTTGTTTGAGATGAACATATTTTATGAATTGAATCACAGATCATAATATGCATACCATACTTAGTAAAATATGATGAGAAAATATATACTATGCAATAAATAAAACTAACTGAATTTTGTTGACAACTGGCATGTCCCTACCACATTATTCAAGACTAAGATTAAACCTTACAAGTGTTTTTCAATACGTGTGGTCGGATAAATATTTTGGGAAGTTTTATATGAGATTTGTCAATTTTTATTGATTGGTCAATTTTACAAATTAATACGCTTTTATAAACGAAAAAAAGTAATCGTATTAATTGCAGTGAACAAAGCACGTAAATTATAAATACATTTGTTGTAAGCACACAATGTTGTAAGCTATCATTGTAGCATTATATCCTTCTGAAAAGCAAATAATTATCACTGAATTTCAATATTATCGCAATAATTAAAATATTACAAAATTGTTCAATCTGATCTGATGGTGATTTATCATTTGTCATTTTATATATATTTATAGAATCATTCTACTGCCAGCAAGTATTGTCATTTAGCCTACGCAAAAAAAAACTTTTGATCATAACACTGGTAAATGTGACAAAGTTGAATTCTACCAAATAGAGATGATTCAATCACAACAATAGAATTTATTTGACAACGTGATGGGTTCAGCAAAGTAAACTTAAATGGTTTTTATCTGCAATTCTATTTTTCTTATTTTCTCTTGTTGATTAATGATACAGTATTTACCAAACATGACGATGAAGAATGAAAACTTGTTTACACACTTCAACGTTTCAGAGCATTGAAGGTCATTGAGAGTATCGCAAATACCTTTATTTGTCATAAGGGAATTTATATTACAACAGTGAATTTTATCAAAATGTAATACATTATGTGTAGTTTTGTAACGTTATTTGTTTCATAGGCGTTGCCAGCCTCGATCAGAATGCATCAGGAAAAATGGGCTTGAGAGCTGTCGTATACTACATGTGTACCACACTGATTGCTGTTATCATTGGTATCGTACTAGTGGTAACCATTGAGCCAGGTAATAACTCATTTCGTGGTTTTGTATAAAAAGCATGCGTAATTACAGGTAACTAAACGGAACATTCCTTGTTGTCCAATGCGTAATGTAATAAATATAATGTGGAGTTATGAGCTGACCATTGTTTTTACATGACAGAGGTGAAAAAATCTATGCTAATATTTAAAATACTTGCAATATTTCTTAAACAAAGCCACTCTAAAAGTGGCTTATGTAGAATGGGATTCAAGTCTGTAAAACAATAAACCTAATATAAAAAATATGGAATAATTAATGTGATTAAGATTCAAAACTGGCTCGGGTACAAGACTCAACTAGGGTCTGAATTAAAAAACCAGAGACATTATATTCTAGCCATACAAATTTATAGAAATGGTTATAAACAAGCTGGAAATATTATTAGACAGTATTTTATATCAGATCCCCAGGTTTTTCATACACTATTTATGGTATTCTAGATGGAAAACCTGTAATATCTCACTGTATTTGCTACTGAGCGTTTTAGCATTAAAAAATTTTATGTTGAAATAAGTAACTCACTTTTTATAGCTTTATACCCTTTGACGTCAATATTTGCTATTGTTCTCGGTGTCTTTGAATGCCCAGCAAACAGGACTTATCATATGTATTCAGTCGATAAAATCTTGTTCACCAAGTTATGTCAATACTTTTAACCGCTAAAGGATTGTGTGTATATATAAAAGTTAGATAATGAATAATTTGAACTCAACATTCCAAGCTTCAACAACGTAATAGTAAAGCAACAGTCAAATTGAACTTTGTTTGACCTACAGAGTTGGTAGCAGTTGAGTCAATTAAGCTTTATTAATCCATCGCTTGATACTAAAAATTTATGCATCTATAATTATATAATATATTGTTGGATATCTCTTACCAAATATTTTATCTTATTTTTATCTTTCTATTTATTTCTAGGTAGAGCCGGCAAAGATGACATTGAATCAACCGGAAGTTCACCGGAAGTTACGGCAGTTGATGCTATGTTGGATCTACTGAGGTGAGAAACATGAATAAGTCGCAGCAGTAAAATTTCAAATATAAATTAAAAAAAAAGAATATAAATATAGTTCTACGTTAATGAATTTCAGCAAAGTTGCCAAACTTTCTCAGTAATGCAATATTGAGGTTTGTATGTTTTTAAATATGGTATGAGTGCTCTAAAGATCAACTGATTTTTAAAAAATACCTTTCTAAAACACACCGAAAAAATGTTTACGTATCTGACTCTACCTTCATTTTTTGCCAATCGATTATTATATAGTATCATATCTGTTCACAGAATAGCCTTTTGTAGTTGCAATGCAGATAACATTTTATAATCCCCCTATTTAGTCGCCTTTTTCACTTTTGTTCGACAGAAATTTGTTTCCGGAGAATATCGTTCAAGCTTGCTTTCAACAGGTGAAATTTATATATACTGTTAATTCACATATAATACCATTCATCAATTAAACATTTCTTTTAATACTGTGATATAGTTGCACATCGCATAACAAAAATTCTGAAAGTTTAAATATAAGTATTATTGATTGGCAGACTACAGGAACAATATGACACTCGTAAATGTAGGCAAAATCACAGAAGTTTTTGGCTAAGTATAGATGACATCCAATATTCAGGCGTGGTATTCAAGCACTACAATCTAATAGTGTACAAAATGTAAATTTCAAAATACATTCTGTGACCTAAAAATGTAAATTAGGCATGAAATCTATAGCTGAAGCATGAGCAAATTAGGAAGCTCTATTGGGCTCATGTAACCATAGTCTAAGGCAGCGTTTTTTGGTCGCGGACTATTTTTTCACCGGCGACAACCTTTGCGGACTCAACGTGCGTTTATTGCAAGAAGTAATAAAACCAAACACAACAGAATTTCAACGAATTTCAAAATCGGAAATTCGCCGAAATTACGCTTTTGTTAAAAGAGCCGACTTTTTTAGTGGATAAATGGCCTTTCTTGTCGCACAATATTCAATCCATGACAACGACGAGAATTTAAAATATCTTTTTAATTTAATTGTGTTCATGGTCACTCGCGGTTGCGTCAACATATGACAAGATGAAAGCATTATTTCTTTAAAATACCACGGCAATCTGCGAACTTAATAATATGAGAATATATTGCCTGATTATATTTAGTTTTGTTACATATTTTTTGCAATCTTGCGAATTTGTTATCGCGGCTAGAAAAATCCTACTATCTTCTATAAATTTCTAGAACGTACAACTTGATTTAGTACTTAATAAAAAGATAATTGAAGTATATTAGTAAATCGAAAAATCGAAAAAAATATTGATCGCCTTGATGATCATTTTAATCTGCGGCTGTGTTGACGAAATAAAAGCAATACTTCAGAAAATATCATGACAATTCGTGGACACAAAAATGCGTGGTAAAGTGCCCGATTATATTTTGTTTTGATTCTTATTTTTGTGAATTTGACAAATCTGAGCTATAGGTACAACACTTACGGCGCTTCAGTACTGTACATACAAATGTTGAGGCAGTAAAGCAAAAAATCCTAAGGGAAATTTTGCGATTTGTAATGTATGAAAAAGCGATTTTAATCGGTCTCGGACCATCATAAAACAAAACTCATGGTGTTCTCCGTTTTATTTTTAGTATATATTTTGTATTGCCGCTTATCAATTTAGAAAATTTAGTTTGCCACCATTGACACCTACCAAAAACAAAATTTCCTCGTTGTTCGAGCTCCGAGAAACATCACTTGGGTATCTATCCAGTATCACCTCGTGTTCTCGTCGGAAATCCGAAAGTGAGTTGTGAACTCCAATCGTTTGATTAAAGCGACGCGCAAATGACCTGTAGCGTCACCTGTTACCAAATTTTCGAATAGTAAATTGCTATTCTAGTAGTTGAATATTCGAATATATGCGCAGCCCTGCTCAGTATCCAGTAATTATTGACTCGATTGATGACATGTGAATAAACTTGCTTTTTATGTTTTATGTAAATTCTAACGTAAATCGTAACATGGCTGATGGTTAAGTTTCGCAGTGAATTTCTGGCTCGTTGCGGACTCATTCAAACGCTCCGCGGACTCGGGTGGGAAACACTGGTCTAAGGCAACCTACTTGTTTTTAAATTGTATTTCTGAGCAGAGTATGAAATTTTATACCTTCATAATCAATATTTTTTTTTCGTAGTATCAAACACGTCGTGAACCAATCTATGGGAACGTCAGCGAATTGTTGAACATGACTGGAATGACAACTGCCTCACCAACTGAACCCCCTGTTACTGAAATGGTTGAGCAAGTTGTAGACTATAAAATTGTAAGCAATTTACTGTCTCTTTGTCTTCATATAAATATAAATAAAAAGAAATTTACTATATACAATGTTTTTATACTTCTCTGTACAATATTAACACCATTTATCCGCTACAAAACAGGTTGGAGAATACAAGTTAGGCGTCAACGTTTTGGGACTGATCACGTTTTGTATAACTTTTGGAATAATTATCGGAAAATTGGAAGGCGGACAACTTTTGGTGCAATTTTTTTCCATTTTCAACGAGGCTGTCATGAAAATGGTTAAAATTGTTATTTGGTGAGTGATATTTGATATATATATTCAAAATCTTTTGACAATCTTTGGCAAACTGTTGTCCGTGCATAGATATATAGTATTAGTTAGTCTTGTTATTGACTAGGTCAAAAAAATATTCGCGCTATTGACTAGGTCTTATTTTAAGGGGAGGGCTTATTTTAAAATCATTTTTAAAATTCAGGGTAGGTCTTATTTTCAGGATAGCTCTTATTTTCGGGGAAACACGGTATGGCACAGTGAGACTCCGAAGTTAACAAACATCCTTAATGATCATTAGTCTAAGTCATTTATATATACTTTTAGTATGAACTTATTATATATTATAAATTTATTATATAAAAGGTATTCTCCAATTGGTATCATTTTTTTGATTGCTGGGGAGATTATGAAAATGGAAGATCCTGAACAAACGATGCAACAGCTTGGTTTATACATTGCGACCGTTGTTTCAGGTTTAGCAATACACGGACTCATTGTTCTTCCTCTGATATATTTTATCGTCGTTCGAAAAAATCCTTTTACTTACGTTCTTGGGGTTTCTCAGGTGAAAACAATGTTCTTTGTATAGAAGGCGAAGAAATTATGAAAAATTTACGATATAAATATATCATAAAACACATTTATAGTAGAAGTCTTTCAACAGATGGCTATTTGTCGAAATTTTACATACTCATTCGGTTATATAATGCAGCTATTACTTGCAACTATTAGTTGGGTTGCGCGGGAATAACTAACTTATCCTCCTTCTGTGCCTTTATGATAGTGGATCCGTATGCGTGTAGAAGAAACAGGACTATACTATGCAAGTTAAGAATCGCGCTGCGCACAAACACAAATGTACTTCTGTAACGTTTCGTCTGACCAAAATCAGACTTCCTCGGACAAGCAGTTTACAACAAACACTGCTTGTCTGAGGAAGTCTGAATTTGATCAGAGGAAACGTTACAGAAATATATTTGTGTTAGTGTACAGCAGGACTCTTTAATTGCATAATATTTGCAATGATTTAAAAAAAATACATCTTGATAGAAATTTCAAGTGCAATTATCTACAAACAGGCTCTCATGACTGCATTGGCAACATCATCAAGTTCAGCAACACTGCCCATCACCATTAGTAATTTAGAAGACATTAACAAAGTTGACAAACGGTGTACGAGGTAAAGCGGAAATATTGCAATAATTTCAACCTTTTTTATAGATGAGTACATATTATAATAAAACTTCTAAGTTAAATATTGATTCGACGAAATTCCAACTTTTTACGTTTCATGCCAACGACCCCGAATAAATTCACTGTATTACAAAATAATGCAAACAAAATTGTGGGGTTGAAGTGGAGTAGGCGATTAAACGGTAAATTTGATCTAATTGCTTTGAAAAACAATCTATCTGAAATCTGTCGGTTGTATACATACATCAATGTTAAAACAATATACGAAGGTAGGCTTCAAAAATACAAAGAACCAGAAGGCCAACCTTTCTAAAATAATGGTACAATAGTAACGGTCGTAATTTTTCTTCTTTTTCATACAGTTATACTATGGTTTAATTTAGTTGAATGGTTAATTAATTACATGTGTATGAATCGAATACGTTATGATCTCCTAAAAATATACTTTTTCAGGTTTGTTCTTCCCATTGGTGCTACAATAAACATGGATGGAACTGCATTATATGAAGCTGTTGCAGCAATATTTATTGCTCAAGTCAATGACATATCGTTGAGTTTCGGAGAAATAGTAACAATCAGGTATACTGTAGTTTAAATAACAATAAATATATAAATCGAGGTTGCAACGTAGTATAAAAACGGTGGCAAATTTAAATTGCACCTTGTATTTTGTACGTAAATACCTATATTCTATAAGTAGGTACAATTGACAAGTGCTTCTCCATGCATAATGGTACAAACTGTATGTATAATATAAAATAAATGAAAAAAATAGTTGAAAACTGAAAGATGGAACTTATTGAACATGCAATGAAAAAATTGTAAATATTGTTTATTGCTCGGCCTGAAACACGCGATGTGGATAATGTACCCTTTTAATATCAGGACTTCTAGGGATAAAAATGTCAATGGACAGAATCTAGAATTAGATCATTCATAAATAATGACTTTGTCGGAGAACATATATATATACTATTCTAAATTGGTATTTAACAATTATTGATTCAGCGTCACTGCAACATTTGCAAGTATTGGAGCTGCTGGAGTTCCACAAGCAGGATTGATTACTCTGGTAATTGTTTTGCAAGCGGTTGGATTGCCAACAGAGGATATTACGCTCATTTTAGCAGTAGATTGGTTGCTGTAAGTACGATTTATGTTAGGTTCTGAGCTCCAACGGTTCGTGTTTCTCAATATTTTTCATTGATATATATTTACAAAAAAAGTTAGTTGTGTGTGTTTATACATCTGTGCATTATTGACTTAAACTCACTTTAATGATATTGTATAGTTTTGGTATCAATTCTTAAAACAACTCTATTTGTTTACTAACTTTGATCAATTAATTAGAATTTTACCGGAATTTAGATATAAATAAATATTCTTATCGTTCTTCATCATTCTTTACTGGCAGTGTCATTACTGACTTATTATCTCATGCTAAGTCTTACACATGGAACATGTAGGCTGATATATTCTATCTGCCAACAAATCTCCTAATAAGCTGTGTAAACCTTTTCGTTCGTGAACTGATGGGCTGAATTAAATTTGAGTTATACTTATGTCACAGAGAATGCTCAACCCTAAGACAATAAAGCATTTCATTGTTGTATAAAATGATCACCACAAATTGTAATTCGAAAAAAACGAAAACAGTTGCGACAAGCAAACGTAACTTTTTTAACAGAGACCGCATTCGAACAACAGTAAATGTGCTAGGAGATTCCATTGGCGCTGGAGTTGTTCAAAAATTATCCAAAGAGGACTTGGAACGCGTGGATGAAATGAAACGTCCTTCTACTCGACAAGAATTACATAAACGGTACTTGAGCACAGACTCCGATTCGACAGTTACTGAAGTTACGACAGGCAAGGTAAGTTAGATCGTCATTTTGTGACCGTTTGAAGACGAGAAGTGCTAAATTCTCAGTTTTTGTAATTTGATGAATATGTTTTTGAATACATCACGGGTTTATACATGGGGTTTGGAAGCAAAGAAATAGCTAAATAGGCCGGTTGGCAATTCTGATCCCTAATTACTTGAATATACACGATATTGTAAACTGACGAAGACATTCCCAAAACATAGTAATACAGGAACAACTGGTGAAAACGACGTTCCGGTCAGTTGTTCCTGCGTTACAATAAATAAGCCTGCTGGTGGAAACCACTCGCTATTGCCGAAGCATGTACCGAGCTTGTTTGGCTTTATATTAAAGTGATGTACATAGTGTGGGTTATGGCATACCATCAAATCTACTCAGCAAAACATACAATGACAAAAACTATTTAGTGGCATTCCATTTTTTAGATTGAATCGAAAGCAGCAAATCAAAATGAATTTGCACCTCACTATAATCAGTTTAGTAAAGACGATTCGGTAAGACAAAGTTTTGCTTTCTATATATATTTTTTAAATCCAATAAAACGTAAATCTACTACAATTTGTTTAATATTAAATTTGGTTTGAGCAATGCTCCAATTTCCAGGGCTACCGAGAATAGACCAGAATGGGTTATGGGTTCGGGTACATTGTATTTTTGTACATTCTTGTAGTTGATTTAGCCGATATTGCTTACGGGGATCTCTCAACAATAAAGATCATGAGATACATTTATATACAAATGTAGACTAACTTAGTCTCCTTCATTCTTCAAATTACCTTATGTTTTCAGCTTCGAATGAGAAACGGAAAAGTGAATGACGCTTACCTGCCTGGTAACGAAATGTCTACCAGCTTGTAAGCAATGCAATGTAACAAGAAACTGGTGTTTTATTTTCATACAAATTTGTAAATTTAGCACAATATTTTCACCTCTTTCTAATTCAACATGTGACTGAATTGCTCTGTAATTTGAAAGTACAAATTAAACATATTCTAAGAAGTCTCATCAATACTTGTTAGTATTTTTACAATACCAATTACAATTTTGTCATTATACAATATAAATAACGTTTTCGTAACGGTATTTTAAAATTTTATTCTTCAAATGGCTTATTTGCGTATATGTCAATAAATGCTAGAATATCGTTTTTTAATTTGCTGTTTTGGTGTGCGCTTATTGAATGGACTGAACCAATTTCATATCACGAACCATAGGCAATTATCATTTAAAAGAAAATTTAAAAATGTATTGGTATTTTGCAGTCACAAAATCGTTTTTTGAATTGAAGCATTTGGTTCATCTATAAACTCTATAGCAGACTGCCGAGCACGCCATAATTTTAAAATACCTGTAGTATTTATCAATTTTACGAAAGTCCTGTCACGCAGTTGGATAGTTGCTTTGTCTCATATTTAATGTTTTAAATAAAATGTGAATATGGAGATTTTCATATTTAATGTGTGATTATTTTAAACATTTCATGCAAAAAATTAGAATGATATATTTGACTGAAATAAATCATTGTTTTAAACTGAATCTAAATTGATAGAAGTTCATTATCATGGTAGTGCAACGATCAACCTGTCTTGTATTTGACCCCCAGTAACGTCACGGGTCGTTTAATACCGCCCCAATTATGACATCAGACAGATGTCACGTGCCACGATCCCGCGTTCTTCGGGTAGTTATAAAATGGCTATGTCCGCTATGTCACTACTAAAATGGATATTTCCCTACTAAATTGGCTATGTCCCTTCTAAAATCGCAATCCCGATATGTCCCTACTAAAATGGCGATGTCCACTATGTCCCTACTAAAATGGCTATGTCCGCTATGTCCCTACTAAAATGGCTATGTCCGCTATGTTTCTACTAAAATGGCGATATCCCTACTAAAATGGCGATGTCCACTGTGTCCCTACTAAAATGGCGATGTCCACTATGTCCTTACTAAAATGGCTATGTCCGCTATGTCAATACAAAAATGGCTATGTCCCTTCTAAAATTGCAATCCCGGTATGTCCCTACTAGAATGGCGATGTCCACTATGTCCCTACTAATATGGCGATGTCCACTATGTCCCTACTAAAATGGCTATGTCCGCTATGTCCCAACTAAAATGGCTATGTCCGCTATGTCTCTACTAAAATGACGATATCCCTACTAAAATGGCGATGTCCACTGTGTCCCTACTAAAATGATGATGTCCACTATGTGCTTACTAAAATGGCTATGTCCGCTATGTCAATACTAAAATGGCTATGTCCGCTATGTTCCTACTAAAATGGCTATGTCCCTTCTAAAATCGCAATCCCGGTATGTCCCTACTAAAATGGCGATGTCCACTATGTCCCTACTAAAATGGCGATGTCCACTATGTCCCTACTAAAATGGCTATGTCCGCTATGTCCCTACTAAAATGGCTATGTCCCTTCTAAAATTGCAATCCGATATGTCCCTACTAAAATGGCGATGTCCACTATGTCCCTACTAAAATGGCTATGTCCGCTATGTACCTACTAAAATGGCTATGTCCGCTATGTTCCTACTAAAATGGCTATGTCCCATCAATGACTTTAAACAACATGATAGGCAACTCTGACGTCACTCCATAAGACTACAGGCGAAAGATTGTATTTCATGATACGCTCCAATGCACATATTTCTCGTCGCCTTTCGCGTCCGTTTTCCGCTCGCTTTTGCTACTCGGCGTCTTTTTTACGTGTAGTACCTGTCTTTTTGCGCCTGTAACGAAACAAAATAATCTCTATATCTAAGAAGTTTTGCTCACTTGGAAAGCTGGAATGGCAGGCAAGCTGTAAAGAGCAATTCTGGACATCATAGACGTTTATTTTTATCAGAGAAGATTACAAACGCGATAGCGGAAAGATTTGTGTGGAACATTTTGCAGATAATGACAAAGTTCAAAGTTAGTAATTTTAATGTTTGCGCTTAATCATTGAAATTTCATTTAAAGAGGGTGTCATACAAAACTGTGCTGTGATACAATTCCATAACACAAAGTTTGCACCTATCGAACTTGCTTTTGTAGGTGAATTTATTAGACATATTACATATTCAGTTAATCGTAGGTAACATTGCTGGTACATGATGCATCGTAGATAAGTTTGTTTAAATTTAGGATTTAGCTCATAGCCCACTAATTAATATTATCTTCTATGCGGGAGGTTGCAGGGCTGAATTCAACTTGCAGCCTTACCGACCACCGGACGATGCTCATTTAGTTTGGCTCGAGCAAGTCTTCTTGAAATGCTTGTGTGGATGGAAACTACCTATATTTTTTGCCTTCCTCCGATTTTAGACAAATTTATTATGAGGGATTTCGCATATAATTCTCATTGATTGTTGGCTGTTTATAATTCCTATTGATTGTGAATTCTGATTATAACAAAGAGTTTTTTATCTAATTTACTGGCACCTTTTTCTAGTCAATACTCCAAGCTGAGGTAATAAACAAGACAATACATTTATGTCATCTGAAAGCAAAATATGCACACTAATTAATAGTTTGGCACATTGAGATAATACATCATGACAGAAAATACAAGTTAAAGATATGTATGACCATCACATGGTAATTAAAATTAAAAAAAATTAATAGGGGCTGTGGAGTATGAAAAGTTCAAGACAAAGAAAAGAACAAATGTTCATAGCTCATGAACTCTCAATTTTGCCTCCATTGCTTTGTGAAGGCCAATATATTTCGAGTGGCTGAATTGGTTTAACTTTATGATAGCAACGATTTTGTATTTAATATAGCAAGATTATTTCACTTTAATTGAAGTGATATTATTTCCCAAAGCAATGCTTGAATCGTCTAGAATAGATCAGTGGTGTCAAACTTTTGGGTTTTCGAGAGCCGCATTGCATTTTGGAAATTGTAAAAAGAGCCGCAAACAGTTTTTGATAATGTATACTTAAAATATATTTTTAAGATAGTTTTAGTTTGTGACATATATTGTGATGCAACTAAACAGTTGGATTAAGTTTTATTATTTTCTTCAATTTCAAATGCAATTACATATTTATATTTGCATTCCACTATTATTGCAACATTTGCAAGTTACTGTATTTATTATAAAAAAATCATAAAATTCTATGTACAACCATCAAAATCATTTTTGAACAAGCTTTGAATAAGGAAAGAATAATACATACACTAAAAATAACTTAATCTAAATATATGAACCTAAAATTAACAAAAATACTAAAGTACAAACTCAATGTTTTAATAATTACATTTGTCCTGACGTTTGGCATCTTTTTTGTGTCACCAGCATACTAAGGACAGGCTGACCGCATGATCATGGGTTAATCTGGATCTTTGTGAATGTCTTATTAATTCCAGTAATGCAAAAAAGTTACTTTTATCATTTCATGTATAGATCAGTAAAAAAACAAATGACAGATTTTTTCGACAAGACATTTTGCACCACATTGCGTGGCATAGGATTGCTTGAATTATTATTGATATTGATTTTTAGTAACTAAGTCGTTGTATAATTATATTAATATACAAACACATGGAAATTTTCTGTTCGAAGTTGGTCTTCGAATTTGTCATATTGACTGCTGAGCTTATTGTGTTGTTTCATTGTATTGACGGAAATATGACAAATTAAACAATGTGCTTCAGAATTTTGTGAAAAGCAGTTTGTTAAAACTCTCATTTCTCCGAAAATGCCACCTTCTTCATGTACTTTGCGTTTAATTTAATCACTCAAGTGTTTTATTCAAGTATCCTTTTGTAAGCTTAATGTGTATTCTTAATTGGGTCAAAATGTGGACAAAAAAAATTAACATTCCAAAACTACTTTCAGTAAATTGTTTTCTGTGTGAATAATCAATTTCACTTTAAAAGGTTTGAAAAATCTATTACATTTAGATAAAAAAAAACTTCTAAAAATACTATTACGATTATTGTTAAGCGTTCGAGGGCCGCACTGGAAGTTTTCTGGGGCCGTGAGTTTGAGATCCCTGGTCTAGATTGAAGTTGTCCAAAAAATATATGATAGTATTTTATTATGAATGATGATTATACCCTTTCCGGAATTTCTTCTATAGTACTACCAAAAGTTGATGAACCAAATATAACACAGGTGCAGTGAGTTACCCGTAATCCTCATTTTCCAAAGCTGTTTTAAGTATGTCTGGCGTGTTTTGTGCCTTTTTACAAATAAGACCGAGTATGCAATTTTACGCTTTGGAATTTTTAGTTATTTTCCTCAAGCCCTGCAGGATGTGAGGGCCATACACAACTCTACCGGAGGGTCAAATGTCTTTGCATGCCTCCATAGGTTGTTTTTCTATTGCAGAGTACTCTAATTATATTTCTTAGACAGGTTTGTCCACAACTTTCACATCTGAAGAAAGAGAGGAGATTTATTAATTTTCGTTAAGAATAAATAAAGCAGTCTATATGATTTAGAATGGAAAAATTAATATATGCAATATCTCATGTTTTATGTAAAAAATATTTCACTGAATTTGGTATATAAATCAACTAATAAAAGGGTTTAGTCAGAAAATAACAAGCATTCGTGGCTCCAAATACTTGAGAGATCAGACTATACAATATAGACCGGTATGAGTGAAATGTTAGGTGAACTTGTTAACACTTTGATTCAATACGCAAATAAAAGTGAATGCGCAATAGTATGTTACAATGAGCAGCAATCAACAATGAGTATATATCCTCACTGATTAAAAAAAATCTAACTGGAGGTGCTTGAACTATTTGAAACCATAAGTGGTAAGTAAATATGTAATTTCGGCAAGTGGGCAACTACGTACCGTACTGAATTAATAACTTCGTAGTATTTGACAAAGGCTGGCTTTCCCACATGTACTTAACAGTGCGATGCCCGGGTGTGATATACAACAATAGTATTTACCTTACCTTTTTCCGATTTCTTTTTACCTTAACTTTTCAAAATATCATTAAAATCGACAACAACTGTCAAAGCAGGCACGAACACCATGCGTGCTCCGCCTTGAAAGCAGCACACATCCGCTCGTTTTCGTCTCGTCATGTATGTGCATTGGAGCGTGCTATCGAATACGATCTTCGGACAAAAATGCCGGAGTTGCGCATCATGTTGTTAAATGTCATTGGTCCCATCTAAAATCGCGAATCCGATATTTTCCTACTAAACAGACTATGTCCGCTATGTCCCTACTAAAATGGCTATGTCCCTACTAAAATGGCGGTGTCCCCAAAATGTCGTGTCCCACTTGTCTCACGTGTCCTACGTGTCCCACTTGTACTACTAGACCACGTGTACCACTTAACCCACATGTACAACTTGTACCACGTGTCCCACTTGTACCACATGTCCCATCACTTGTCCCAAGTGTACCAAGAACAAGTGGACCACTTGCCCCACGTGTACCACGTGTCACAATTGCCCCACGTATAACACCTGTCCCACGTGTCACACTTGCTCCACCTGTACCACGTGTCACACCTGTCCCATGTGTCCCTTTTGTCACATTGAATATTAATAAGAAATGTTTCCTAATTCAAATTTTTCAATTGGGATACATATATTGAAGATATACCAATACTGCTTTTATCGCCAAATCGGTTCCGATCCGATATCGACACGGCTATATTCCGGCACTTATAACCCATGTCATAACAACACTTTTCGCCGCAACACTTTTTTAAACAAATTATGGTAGTTTCTGCAAACGTGTTGTTGCGAACATGCGCAAGGATTGTGACTTCTACCACAACTAAATGAAATGTAGTGTTTAGTAATCGTCATACACAGTGCTGTGCAAGTTTCAAGAAAGAGGAGAATAGCCATATTTTAAATTGGCGTGGTTAGATAGAGCAAGTTAGGTTAGATCGATCCAGTATTACAGTTTGTAGCAAGTACATAAGGATAGTTACTATGTATTTTAATATTTTCACCGATTATTGTTAGTAGTGTGGACACGCAGATAGGGTCGAATCTTTGTTGCCCTATATTGAACACACGTTAACAGAGTGTAACTCCGATCTTGACTCCTTCACAGGTCAAAAAGCACACAATGTATTGAATGCCAATTGTTATATTGTAAAGTTGCACAATCGAATTGATCCAAATAACGAATTACACTTGAAACCTTAAAGCAAGTATATGTGATGAAACTAAATTTCTAACTAACAAAGAACGGCGAAGACAAGCTACACTGAGCGAGAAAAATATATCATAAAGGAAATGAATTGGGACAACGACCTTGTTTAAGGCAAATAACATCCACTACTAACAATAAGTGGTGAAAATATTAAAATACACAGTAACTATCCTTATGTACTTGCTACAAGTTCATCAAAATGATTTCGGAAAGCAGAAGGAAACAGTTCTTCATATGCATTTCGTCCAGGAGTTTTGTCCACATATAGCTCATTCGCCGAATATTTTGTCCATATGGTTCCGTTCATCATACATTTCATTCACCAGATATATATTTCGTTTTCCTCATAAAACAGTCGTCGTGATATTCGCTCGTTGAAAAAACGACTTTTTCGGTGAGACTTTTCAGTGACGTATAATATTCAATCCATGGTAATTAACTTAATTGCGTCTAACGTAACTCGCGTGACGACTTTTAAATACATTGCTACATTGGACAAATGGGACACGTGAGAAAAGTGGGACACGACATTTTGGAGACACCGCCATTTTAGTAGGGACATACAGCGGCCATTTCCTAATGACAAACCAGATTTAATATAATTTATCTATGTTCCATACTTGATTAGTACATTTTTATCTATTGGTAATTAGTATATAAGCTACTGAATATTACTGATTTTTATGCCATCCGGTTGGATCATTCTACTGTATCGTTGACAATATAGACATTGCCTCGTTAACGTGTGTCGGACGGACTGGGGGATCGGGACAGGCGTTAGAGTGGTATTCTTCGTCTGACAACAGAGGGGACATCCTCTAACAAACACAGTCGTTTGGATTGATTAAATCATCCTCATAATTAATTTACCTTTACAATCCTCGTCGCGTTTAGAACTTTGTATAATGATAACACTGAAACTTTCGACAGCAATAAAAAGAAATGGATAAAAAGGTAAATCCAATGCTCACTCAGATGAACCGTAACTCTGCCTTACTTGCAACTCGGTATTTAGCCACTTGTTCAACATTGTGTATAAGCAATGAACATAAGAATCTGTGTTTAAATCTCCCCCAATGGATATGTAGGACCCCCTGGACGAATGTTATTGTTATTTAAAAACGAAAATAGGAGGAACTGTTTGTGATGTGGGCATATAGGAGGAAACATGAAACCATTTGAAAAATACGACTCATCCCTCTAAACAAAATATGTTTGCTAAAGAAAACAATGTAAACACTAGAATAAGATCATGGATATATTTTTATTAAAAAATGATTCATTCTTCACAAACAAATCTAGATGGAAAAAAATCAAGTAATGAGAACGGTATATTCAAATATAAACAGTTCATAATATTGCATAAATATTATTGCTGTTGTGTAGCATTTTCTATTATATGCAATTCACACTTTAGTTTTTAACACTGTTACAGAAAAAAACTAGGGTACTGTATAGGCTTTTAGTTTCGTATTGCTGTTCTGATTCTTCATAGCCTACGTAAATTGTAACACCTTAAAACGACGTTGAAATTGGTTGTAGAACAAATGCCTGAGACTTCTCACCACGAGGTATTAACATATTGGGACAACACGACACTATGCACACATATGTAGTATGTCAGACAAATTAGTTTCGACTGATTGACACGAAATGTAGTTTAAAAAGGGGAAATATTCAATAACTTTTATAGCATTAGAATATTTTTATGGCAAATAATCATAGCATTGATTTTAAATTAAAGACAGTTTGCAACTGTGGCAAAGAGAACTTGTGAGGTCCCAAAACTTTACCCACAACGATAACACAGTCAAAAATTTCATTCCTGTTGTCTCCCATGTTATTGTCGATGCATTTAATTTTGCGACATTTGTGTTTGTCATCTTCGCCAAAATGTAAGTGAGCAATTTCAATACTCCCTGCTTGTTTGTGAAATCTTTTGACTCTAACGTCATCTAGAACTCCGTACACTACGATAGGTAAATGAGCTGGTATCACACCTCGTATTATTCCATCCTGGACAAGCATTTCAGCTGAGGCCAATATATATTTGCTTCCAACACCATTGTTCATGTGTTCTTTGACACTGGCTTGCAAATATCCATATGCCGCGGTGAAATTCAGTATTTTTGAAAGGTCTCTCATTTTGGAATGAATATTCTTCTCTAACCACTCGTCCTCCCTTTAAATCGTGTTAAATGAATGTCACATTTTGTATGTTGGGAATTTTGAATAATAAGAAACCAAAAATCAATCTTTAATGCTCACCGAACAATATTATTATTGATTCACTCAGACATAATTCATTATTATATAGGAGCAGAAGATACTTCGGTTCGGTTACTTTTTGACCAGTTTTTATCATACACTTCGTTACCCCACCGGAATTAATTTTAGTTATTTCAAAAAATTCCACAATCGTACAGAAATTATGCCTTCGTGTCCAAATATTTGAGCACTGATTTTCGTTAGTAAGTTATTGAAATTTTCTAAATTTATCATTCAATACTGATAATGGGTACAATGAAATGTGTATAACATTTTAATTGCCGATATCAGAACACAAGTTGAAAAAGTTTTCCCAAATAAAACTTAAACGTACGGATGGGATGGGAAATTTAAGAGTTGTCAACTGTCAAATTTACTTCCCTAAACGAAGTTTAAGTTTAAAATGAGCATCATGCATCTTCAAAAATTAATTGCTCTGGACTGACTGAATGCATAGCCATGAAATTATCTTTCGGTGGGGAGGATCGACTGCGCTGGTCATTCTTTGGGACTGTTTTTTTTTCACATAACTCAATGTGCGCTGTACGGCGCTATTTATTGAAATTTCATATTCTCAATTCACAAAAATACAGTAAAAGCTCACCCCAAACAGATTTCCATTCCCTTTTTATCAATGTTTTCCATACATGTTTTATCACCTCGGCTTCTGGGAGATTCTTTATAAAGCATACAAAACCCGTAAAGTATTTTCGGTTTTTGTTGGTTATCGCTAATTTTTTTCACACACACAAGACCTGCTCGACCCTTCGACAACTCGGTCTGAAAAGAAAACATGCATTGTGCAATTGATATGTATATATCATAACTTATTTATACTATGCATAATTTTGTAAGAGATGTATACATACACATAATGTATTTTTGAAGAAAAATTGAATATTATTATACGTGCTGATTATGATAGTAATCATTTTTGTCAGTATATAGTTTATCATCAACGGCATTAATTTGCAGAATAAAAAGCTAAACACACAAGTTAGTACAAAAGTTTGCTTCACTGAGCATATATATTTTTAAGGCTGAGCAGAGTCCTAAATGATTTACAAACTTCGTGGGAAAATACCAAAATAGAACATTCATTCTCAAAATGCATACCTCATAAACGTATTTGAAATATTCTGACAAATGTAATTTTCGTTTTCCTGGATCAGGATGCGATCGCTTAAACGGTGTACTACTTTGAAATGCAATAGCACAAATACCCAAAAACTCTTTCCAATCTTCCTCATTGTCGGTGCATATTTCCAGGCACAACCTGAAAAAAAGGTGTGTTCGTGTTACTGGCTTATATCGTGACGGTTTGCACGATTTATAAAACGGCTGTCGAACTATGATAAAAGGTATCTATCTAGATACCTAGTATTATTGATATCTGGTAATATTCTATTTGGATAAACGATTTTGGGTTTCCGGTTAAGGGTTGCTGAAAAGGTACATGCAGTATTCAAAAAAGTTTATGCCTAAAAAACCAAGTTCTTTGAAACTCAGCGCGACAAATAACAATACATCAATGACTAAAATGCAACACACATTGCAAATATATCACGAAGAGCAAGGTATAAATGAGGTGACTCACAAGAATGCAAAAAAAAACGAAAGGGAAATTACACCGATTCGATGAATGGGTGTATTGAATAGAAATATGATAGGAGGCTATGCCTCAAATATATGATAGAGTTCTGACATTTCACTGCCATCTATCAGAGCGATTTTATGAGCTCAATACTCCAAACGCTAGCAATTGAGACACATATACTTAGCCCTGTATTGATGATCGTTTCCGAGCAGGGTAGAGTAAACCAGGAAGGTCTATACAATAATATATGGATGTTATCTGGCCTCAATTTTTCTGTGATACTTATATATTAGATTAGTCACAAATTCTTCAATCCTTCCTCCATGCCAAGTATTTCAATTTTACCTTGAATTGTCTTCTTTCGACATCAATCTTGCATGAACTACGTATTATGTACTAATAATTGATGTTTATGTTCCCTATATTCACCAATGCACTACTCTAAAATACAATCAAGAACGGAACAGGGTAAAATTAAATTGACTATAAATGTTTCGTTTGATATAATATAATAACTGCATCGACATTTGGATTGTGCTAATAAACAGGCTTGGATTTATCTATCTTCTAAACTTTTATCTGATATTATTTGCCTACGGTACATTAAATTAAACCCTAAACCTATTATGGTGTATGAACGACATTACATGTACGAATCAAGAGTTCAGCATCACAACTCCTGTACAAGGTACGAAACTGTACAATAATATAATTTCTAGCATACGTAGACATACATATTTCAAATATATTTTATGTATCGAATTATTGTATGAATTACATTAAATTATTTTTACGCATTATAATAGAAAAAAATGATTCACCTAGGTACAAGGTTCACTCAATCAAAAGACTTGAAACGCAGATCAGATTTTCTGAATAACTGGATATATTATTTCGATCTTTCACGTGTACATTGGATTCTGATCTAAACCCCCAAGGTAAAGGAACGTTCGAAACATTATTCATACTCTAGGTGCTTTTTGGAAGAACGTTTTCTCAAAGCAATTAAAATCGATAACCATTCACAGGGATCTTTACCGCTCAGCGATCTTTAGAGAAATTTGTATTTGGAACCTGTTTACATATTGCTATAAATTTTTGCCTTCGGAAGATTGGCAAAACATACAAAACCTGGACAAGACTAAATCCAACAGTATAGAGAGACAGAACTGCCGTAACACACATACGGAACAATTACCATTATAAAATACCTAGGTGAAAATAACGATTAATAGTATATATCATATCGAGTAGAGTATTGGTATCCTTCCGGGAATAACGAGATCTCATAACACATTTAGAAACAAATATCAAATGAATAAGCATTTTATGGACCTTCGTATTCAAAAACATACAATACAATTGTCGCTAGATCAATTTGACGTTGTTAAACATGAGTATGGTTTTATTCAGAGACCACCTTCAGTTTAATAATTGCATGATCTAGTATTCTAGTTACACAGAAAATCAACAATATTTACTGTTGTTTCAACAGCTCGACCTAGAAAGTGGAATGCGATTGCCCGTATGCCAGTCATTTCATTTGAATCTATGCCAAACACTTTACATTATGCATCGATTCGATCATGCATGGCGTTATGAGTAACCAACGTATCTGTTTATAATAATCTAAGCGCCATATCTGTTACATTGTATATAGCAATCGCTTCCTATTGCGTGGAATTCAGCTAAAGTGAAAGAAGCATATGCAAATATTGATATGACGTCTGGAAAACCAAAATCTGCCTACTTGCATTTTTATTGCTTATAGCTCGCTTGCTGACTTTCATAGATCTTTGTTTACTTCATCTTACGCTGTTCTTCAGTCAAGTATGGCCTAAAGAAAAATCAAATAACCTCAGCGTTATGTTATCTGCAGTTCACACTTTGCTAATACAATTCACTAACAGAAAGATTGGTTCCCTGGTGTGCAATGGGACCAATTTGTCACGAGAAAACCTAGGCTTTTCTTCAATGTGCCAGCAGTAAGAATGTCAGTGGACGAGCATTGGTTCACATAACTCGAATCCCAGGAGATGATTTTCCGCGTGTTTATCTTTATATTGTGTCAGTTAGGTATAGGAATCAAAACTTAGCTCAACCAACCTAATTAAATGTATTTAAATATCCATGAAAAAGAGTTCTCTTATAATGGAGATATTTCTGAAAGATTAGGCTTACTAGGGCTATATAAATCCCAGCATAAAAACGATGACAAAGCGGAAGTTACCATTTTTCTTCCTACAAGAGTCTCAAATTCTTACAGCTATTACTTTCCCGTCATATACGACTTTCGCAATCAGGCATTTTTCAAACTGCTTTGGTCGTTCCAATACTTGTTGCTAATTCTAATTCTATATTATTGTATACTAACTACTCCTTCCTAAGAATGAAAACCACTTATTTACTAAAGACGGATCAAACGTAATAAAACATTTAGTGCAAAGACGCTTAAACAAGCACGGGGAATGTAGGGATATTAGTTAATTAGACCATGTTTTTAACAGTTAGAAAAAAAGGTAATATCGGTTAGCCCGGTATTTCTACTAAATTTGAAAAAGGCAATGCCAAAACAATTTGACGATAAATGTTTAATTAGTTTTCAGAACAACTGCGTCAGTTGAAAACAAGCTATCTTGCCCTTACGCAAAACCAGTCCGCAAAAGCCAGTTTTTTATTACCTCGAACACTTATAGCGAACTAGATAATTGGCCAATGACAACTTTCTAAATTGGTTTAGAAGAATTGCGGAGATTTAATTACGGGACCTTTACTTTATTTATTATAAACGATAATACGTAAAAAGCCATCCCTGAAGGCATGACATTCGCCTCGACCATTCTATATAAACAGCAAAATATTCCTTTAATATTCATTCATTGATTGGTTGATCGTGTTATTACATTCTTCTCGTGTCGTCTAATACAACAAGTAAAAGGTTGGTGACTTGTTACTATCAATTGTCTGCTGGGTTAAGCTCTGCCCTAACGGAGTCAGGGAGAATCGTGTGCAAGGTTAAACTCTATTTAACCAGGAGTCTGTGTTCTTAACCAAGCTCTATTTAGGGTTGCTTTTAATATAACAAGCATCCTATAAAATTGGTATGCTAAGTCACCAACCTTTTACTTGTTGTATTAGACGACACGAGAAGAATGTAATAACACGATCAACCAATCAATGAATGAATATTAGAGGAATATTTTGCTGTTTATATAGAATGGTCGAGACGAATGTCATGCCTTCAGGGATGGCTTTTTACGTGTTATCGTTTATAATAAATAAAGTAAAGGTCCCGTAATTGAAGCTCCGCAATTCTTCTAAACCAATTTAGAAAGTTGTCATTGGCCAATTATCTAGTTCGCTATAAGTGTTCGAAGTAATTAAAAACTGGCTTTGCGGACTGGTTTTGCTTAAGGGCAAAATAGCTTGTTTTCAACTGACGCAGTTGTTCTGAAAACTCATTAAACATTTATCGTCAAATTGTTTTGGCATTGCCTTTTTCAAATTTAGTAGAAATACCGGGCTAACCGATATTACCTTTTTTTCTAACTGTTAAAAATATGGTCTAATTAACTAATATCCCTACAGGAATACATAATACGTAAGTAAAGTACGTCTATAAATCTTGGCTGGCAACAATAAATAGGGGAAAGACTCTATCACAAAACATATATAGCCTACGTAATACGAACTAGAGTATAATATAAACTATTAGAACCTGAATAAATTTGACATATTTGTTGGAGGTAAAATATTTGTATGTAAAATGCATCTACCTGAAAATAACATATTGCGTACATTTCAACATTGATAAGAGTCATTGATGAAAAGCAACTTTTAAGCTGACCATATTTTTCATCTTTCAAATGCCAGGTATATAAATACACAGGAAAACGGAACACCGAGTATGTAAACACAATAAAGTTTTGTAATCATATTAACATTAACTATTAAGACTTTATTCGAGATTCTTGTTCAAAACGATTGGTCGTTGCGTGAAGTATACATTGTGATTAACGGTATACAAGTTTCGTAATTGAACTAGGGTTGAAACTACGTGATATATAACGAATAAAAAATTGTTGAAACTTGCCAATATATTGAAATTGAAAAAAATGGGATAAATTTCAGTACGACTACTCTTCAATATGAGGGTAATCGCCATCTTCCTTTTTCAGTTATTGATTTAAATCTTATCACGATACTACTGTCTTAACCACTCTAAGAATAATGATTTATGTACTGAACCTGAAACTGTTGAATGAGCTTTGCTAAGCTGTGTCAATGCTGAATAGTCAGCCAACCTTGATATCAGTATCCATTCATATTCAATTATGCACGTGACTAATAAAACCCGTGACAACAAAATGCCTTCGCTTGCGCAACGTCGTGGTGGTTACGGGTGGAAGTAAATAACATTCCAAACGTTTTCACTATGGTAACATTCAATTCAATACGTTTACCATAGGATTGTAGACTAAAGATTATATTTCTAACCGACTAGCGTTTTTCCTCGAACTTGACTGACTCAACCTTAAGGTTAGTTCGTTGCTTCAGGATGCGTTTTGAATTTGGCAGCTTCTTTCAAGTTCAGGATTCAGGTAAAGATGTGGTCTAGATCAGTGATTCCCAAAGTGGGCGATATTGCCCCCCGGTGGGCGAAAACGATACAAAGGGAGGCAAAAAAAGTCGAAGGAAGCGATAGGGGGGCAATTTCGCGAAACCTGTTTTTGTTCGGCGCATCGTGCACTTGGTTTTCGTAGGTTTGAATCACGTGAGCGATTATTACACGCTAAAGGATTGCTGGACTTGTTTTCGCAGTAAGGTACGAAAGTTTGCGTGTCCCAGTGGTCGGCAAAATACGTCCGGAGTAAAATAACCTGGCCCGAGACGCTTCACTGAATGGATCTTTCCTCGGCCTTTGACCCCGGAAAATTCTTCCTATACTTTATACCCTTTCAAATTTTCGGTGCTTATTCTAAGAGTGGTTTCGCGAGTTGTTGCCTGTAAAATAGGGTATTTGTTTCACAAACTATCATTCTAATTCATACCATTCAACAATCTGTTTTTTAAAAGTACCGGTAAAGAATTTTAGCCTAGTCTATCATAGCTATTTCTATTCTCATTTTTGATTACTGTAATTAATCTGAAACTCCTAGAAAGGCGAAGTGATCATTGACTTATTTGATTTATATTTTAATTTCCGAAAAAACAACTAAAACTAACGAATATAATTCAACATTTTTGCATCTTGCTGATTGGCCAATGTCGCGAACTAAACAAGTAAGTCTATGACCGGGTAAACATCCAAGCGGCGATTTTGACGATGAATTAATTTTATTTATAATCTACGCTCAAGGAGTAAAGTACTTTTTTTTATGTAACAGAATTAATCGTGAGACACGTTTAGACTAAATTTTATTATATCCTGAAAATTCTACTGGACTCGTTTAACGAGCCTACAATTTAATTATAATCAGACAAATGGAAACACGCAGAAAAGTTGATGATGAGTGCAGGGGTTCAATAGCGCAGTAAATATTCGAATATACTGCAATGCAATAAGGAAAGCAGCCAGGAAGGCTCGATTTCAGTGTCAAAGATAACTTGAACGATTGTTTGAAATGTCAAAAAATGTCAATGAAATACATATTTACCACGTCGACAATTGTTATATTTGAATGGAAATTGTTGATGAAGAGGAAAGTGTTATTAATACCTAATAAAACCATTATTTGATTTTCGGAATGAATGGGTGTAACGAAAAATTGAAATTTTTCCAGCTGGACTGGTGACTCCATACTTTAACTTCACGTTTTCTTGACTTGAGACTTGGATGAACCTTGACCCGGCCTTACTCTCAACTCGAGATTTAGCGACTTGTTCAACATTGAGTATGAAACATTAAAAATAAGAATCTATGTATATGTAGACCCTTTGGGCGAATGTTATTGTGGTTTGAAAATTACGCAAATAGAAGCAACTATGTGTAATGCGGGCATATTACAAGAACCGTGGAACATTGGTAAAAATAAAACTGACTTATCCCACCAAACAAAATATGTTTGTTAGCAAAAGTGAAAAGAAACAGTGTAAACAAACACATCATGGATATACTTTTATTAAAAAATGATTCATTTTTCACAACTAATTCTAGAATAAAAAAAATCAAGTGTTAAATTAAAACAGTTCACAATTTTGCATAAATACTATTGTTCTTGTGTAGCATATTCCTATAACGTGCAATTCACACTCTAGTTTTTAACACTGTTACAGCAAAAACTGGGGTATAAGTTTTTAGTTGCGTATTGTTCTGTTTCTGCATAGACTATGTAAATTGTGACACCTTGAAACGACGTTGAATTTGGGCTCAGAACAAAGGCCTGAGACTTCTCACCACAAGTATCAACATATTGGAACGACACTATGCACACATATGTAGTAGGCCTATGCCAGACAAATTAAGTCCGACTGGTTGACACGAAAGATAGTTTTACCAGGGAACATTCAATAAATTTTATAGCATTATGGAAGTAAAAAGTAGAATATTTCTATGACAAATATTTAAAGCATTGATTTGAAATTAAAGACAGTTTTCAACTGTTGCAAAAAGAACTTGTGAGGTCCCAAAACGATAACACAGTCAAAAATTTCATTTCTGTTGTCTCTCATATTATTATCGATGCATTTAATTTTGCGACATTTGTGTTTGTCATCTTCACCATGATGTAAGTGAGCAATTTCAATAGTCCCTGCTTGTTTGTAAAATCTCCAGACTCTGACGTCGTCTAGAACTCCGTACACTACAGTAGGTAAATGAGCTGGTATCAAACCTCGTTTTATGCCATCCTGGACAAGCATGTCAGCTGAGGCCTGAATATATTTGCTTCCAACACCATTGTTCATGTGTTCTTGGACACTGGCTTGTAAATACGCATATACTGCGGTGAAATTTAGCATTTTTGAAAGGTCTCTCATTTTGGAAAGAATATTCTTTTCCAACCACTCGTCCTCCCTTGAAATTGTGTTAAGGTATGTTGGGAATTTTGAATGATGAAAGAGCCAAAATTCAAACTCTAATGCTCATCCAAGCGCATAGAGAATTAAAATAGATTACATATAGATCCACTCGGACAATATATATTTCGACAGAATATACTTCTATTTTCACTTGTTTTTATATTACGCTTCGATATCCCACCGCAGGTGAGTTTTGGCTATTTCGAAAAACTCCGCAATCGTACGGAAATTTGACATTTTTATCCAAATATTTTAGCATGGATTCTCGTTAGTGAGTTATAAAAATTCTTCAATATTTATCATTCAATTCCCAATAACGCTAATGGGTACAATAAAATGTGTATTACATTCTATTACCGATATCAGAACACGACTTAAAAAGTTGTTATATAGTAAGTTACATATCTTAATGTTTAAAAAAGCATCGCGCATATTCAGAATTTTATTTGAATAATTAGAATATAATTCTATTTGTCAAAATTTCAGATAAGTGAACGAAACGCAGTATTTTCATTCGTAGAGCATCGAGTTCCTAGAATTTTTACAAAACACACTGGGAAGAAAATACAAAACAAAAATCTAGTCATGACATTTCACTTGTCAACATTATAAAATTCAACATTAAAAATCATAATCTGGTATTGTTCAAAAAGATACTCGCAAAACAAATGCAAAAGAAACATGATTGAAAGTATAACAATAATTGAGTGATTTAATATATTTGAATAAAACTGACCCAATAATTTGAACCTAAAATCCCCATGGTTTTTACTTATTGGCTTGCTTGGTATTGGCGAATCTAATTTAGTATAGAATGTGAGCAGCCTGATAAATCCCTGTGGTGGGTTAAAAGTAATTATCCAATTGGTAAGCGAGTATAAATATGATTGGTGATAGGTATTCGTCGTCATGAACTATATATATTGTCAAATTTAGAGAGAAAACCATCGCATCACACCTTTCAATTTAGTTATTTGCACTCGACTGACTGAATGTATTGTCATAAAAGTACTTCTCGATGAAATGAAACGACTGTGCTATTCATTCTTTGAGGTTGAGTTTTATTACATAACTCAGTGCACGATGTACGACCGCTATACATTGAAATTTTATATCCTCAACTCACAAAAATACAGTAACAGCAACCTTACCCCAAACTGATTTCCATTCCCTTTTTATCAATGTTTTCCATACATGTTTTATCACCTCGGCTTTTGGGAGATCCTTTATGAATCATACAAAACCCGTAAAGTATTTTTGGTTTTTGTTGATTATCGCTAATTTTTTTCACACACACAAGACCTGCTCGACCGTTCGACAACTCGGTCTGAAAAGATAACATGGATTGTGTAATTAATAGCAAATATAATTTTAAAAACGTGTGTAAGAGATGTAATATCTGTATAAATAGATAATGTATTTTAACTAAACATAGAATATTATTGATGTACTGATTATGATAATAATCATTTTAGTCAATATAGTTTATCGTAAACAACAATAATTTGCAGATTAAAAAGCTGAACACCCAAGTATGGTCTACAAATATCAAATATACTTCGATGCCATCTGTAAACTGCCATTTCTCTTTGTTAACTGAAATAAAATACAGTATTTTATAATAGCGCATTCATTTTTGAATTGCATATACCTCATAAACGTATTTAAAATATTCTGACAAAAATAATTTTCGTTTGCTTGGATCAGGATGCGATCGTTTAAACGGATTACTATCTTGAAATGCAATAGCACAAATCCCCATAAATACTTTCCAATCTTCTTCATTGTCGGTGCAGATTTCAAGGCACAATCTGAAAAAATCACATCGCTAAAAAACTGTACAAGTTGTGTTCATAATATGGCTTATATCGTGAAGGTTTTTATGATCTATAGAACGATTGTCGAACTATGATAAAAAAGTATCTGAGTATTATTGCAATCTGGCATTATTCTCTTTGGATAAACGATTTGGGGCTTCCGGCTTAAGGTTGCTGAAAAGGCACGTGCAGTATTCAAAAAGTTTATGCCTATCAAGTCAAGTACTTTGAAACTCGGCGACAAATAACAATACATCAATGACTAAAATGCAACACATATTGCTAATATATCACGAAGAGCAAGGTATGAATAAAGTGACTCAGGAGGATGCCCAAAACGAAGGGAAATTACACCGATTCGATGAATGGATGTATTGAATAGAAATATGATAGGAGGATATGGCATAAATATAGGATAGAGTTTTTGATATTTTAGTTCCATGTATCAGAGCAATTATATGAGTGCAGACGATAACAGTTGAGCCACGTATACTTTGCCCAATAATAATGATCGTTTCCGAGCAGTGTTGAATATAATAGGATGGCCGCCTGTACAATAATAGGTTGGTGTTGTCTGGCCTCATATTCTCCGAACATAATTTTTCTGTGATACTCATTAGTTTTCTCACAAATTCTTCAAACCTCCATCCATGCCATGTATTTTTAATTTTACCTTGAATTGTCTTTTTTCGACATCTAACCTGCATGAACTACGTATTATTTTCTAATAATTGCTGTTTATGTTTTTTATATTCGCCAATGTACTGGTCTAAAATACAACCAAACACGAAACAAGTTAAGATTAACTTCATTATAAATGTTTTCTTTAACATAATATCATAACTGTATCGACATTTGTATTGTGCTAATAAACAGCATTAGATTTATCTATCTTCTGGACGTTTATCTGATATTAATTGCCGACGGTGCATCATACTCTCAACCTATTATGCTTCTTGAACGACGTACGAATCAGGAAATAGGCATCACAACGTGTACAAATGACGAAACTGTACAATAATTCCCTTTAATCTAATTTCTAGCATACATAGACATACACATATCAAATATAGTTTTGTATCGAATTAATGCCTACTCATTGCCTTCAATATTCATCTATCATAATACAGTGAAACTGATTTGCTAGAAAACAATACAATTCAATATTCATTGATTACGATACAGCAACGCGTCAACCAACTGTCGGAGTACAACGTTCACTGAATAAGACTAAAAAACGCAGATCAGATTTTCCAAATTACCGGATATATCATTTCCGATCTTCCACGTGTACATTGGATTTTGATCTAAACCCCCAAAGTATAGAAACGTTCGAAACATTATTCATACTCTCGGTGCATACAAAGGTTTGCCTTTGCCCTTAGAAGACTGGCAAAGTATACGAAACCTCAACAAGACTAAATCCAACAGTATAAAGTAGACGGAACACTGCTGTAACACACATACGGGACAATCATCGTCATTAAATAACTAGGTGGAACCAACGGTCAATAATATATCATACCGAGTAGAGAATAGTATTGGTATCCTTCCAATAGTAACGAGATCTTATAACACATTTAGAAACAAAAGTCAAATTAATAGGCATTTTATGGTCCTTCGTATCCAAAAACATGCAATATATTTGTCGGTAGATCTATTTGACGTTGTTAAACATGAGTAGAGTTTTCATTCAGAGACTACCTTCAGTTTAATAATTGCATGATCCAACTACACAGAAAATCAATATTTGCACTTGTTTCAACTCGACCTAGAAAGTGAAATGCGATTGTCCGAATGCCAGTCATTTCATTTGAATCTATGCCAAAAACTTTAATTATGCATTCGATTCAGAGGCGATTTGATCATGCATGCCAATATGAGTATCTGTTAATAATAATCTCTGCGCCATATCAGTCACATTTATATCGCAGGAGCGGCCAAGATGTCGATCGCGGAAATTGCCTTGAACTAGTTTAACAACTTGGATGGAACATAATAAATTTTGTGTCGATTTCATTGCGAATGCGGCCACAAAGCCAAGCTCATTGTGAGCGTGTGTGCAGTTATCTGCATATTCAGTGCTCATTCGTTTTTTGTATGACCTTATTACCGCGACCAGTCGATCGCGAGCAATTTTGAAGATTTTAGTCGATCGCGATTGAAAGCACATTGTCCACCCCTGGACTATTTAGCAATCGCTTTATACGAAGCTTCCTATTACGGGGAATTCAGCTCGAGTTAACGGATATGAACAGATTAATATAACGTCTGGATAACCCGAATCAACGTGACTATAACACAAGTGAGGACATGCATTGATAACGTTATAAGTGCGTGTGTGACGTCACATCCGCCATTTTGGGTCCAGAGTTCTATCGCTGTGTGATCCTAACAAAGTGATTTAAACCTGCGTTCATTAAACATTTGAATAAAAAAAAGATGCTCAATAATTCGGACCAAACTTTCGCAGCAGCAAAACGAATGAACATTCTTCTGAAAAATTAATATTCCGCAGTTGTTTCTCAGATAACTCGGCTCGGTGGTACGGTCAGCATATACGAAGTTAAGGTTAAAGTCATCCAACTAAACTCGATAAATCAACTCCCAATAAGACCAAAATATTAAACAAAGAGATACACATTTTATTATAAAAATTCCTGATGTAAGTATCGCTGATTATACGGAACTTATTTTGACAAACTGACCGAACTACAATACAAATTACCCTACAAAATCTTGCAACTATTTGTACATGATAAAATTTTCAACACGGTGTACATTGCCAAAATATATTGAAAAAATATGCTACATGCATGGAATGAGATATACCAGCATATATCAAGATTACAAGAACATCTAATTATCTGGAGTGTATAAAATATAAATATTATCTATTTGACTGGAGGCTGGAGCTCTTGCTGCAGTTTTACTACTGTTTTTCAATAATTTTATTTGTCACCTCTTTTGCGTGAATATTTAACCTCATATATATTTAAAAAAACGTTTCAAAATTTTAAAAGCGACATTGTGGCAAGATGGGAAATTATAATTCAATCAGTCAACTTTATCTGTCAGAAAAGTAACCGGCGAACATATGTTATTAAAGGCATTAATATTGACGCGATAGATAGTTCATACTCCGCGCAAAAAAACGATTGCTTCTTGGATGGGTGTCATAAATATTGGGTAAAACTATCAATTTCCAAATTTTTACCATGTGTGTAAGACCGAAAAACAGTTAGGTAACGATTGTGGTAAATATTAATTAAATATAGATAATAATTCCTAAAAAACAAGGGCCATGATATATACATTTGGTATCTGATTATGGGACGTAACTAAATGGCCAAACCAAAAAAAATTGAACCCCGCGTTTTTATAGGGTTCCGCCGCAAACATCGGGACTAATTTTTCATTGTTGGATATCATTACAATTACAATCAAGTTTTATCAACGAGATCGAGAACATGATGGCGTCGCTAGATCACCTAGTAAATATTTTACATTTTCCGACGCAAAAGAATCGAAATATTCTGCCAATAAGTTGATAGGTGCTTTAACACCAGACGCGGCGATTGGTCTTCAAATTGTGTACATTGAATGTACAACTTGTACACTTCGATGAAATTCATTAGGCCGCACAATGGGCTAGCCATGAGACCGTTTATATTCTATACTTTTTGGAGCAACTGCTGCAACAGCTCTTTAAATCAAGAAAATTGAGAAAATTCAGACATTTCATCAGCTTCTGGAATGATTAATGCAAAACGCAGGCTTTAAACGTTCGGCATGGTGTGAACAGGTATCCCAATACCAGTTCAAATAATACCTGCTTTTTTGTTTTGGATCAAGGGTCTCCACTTTAAAATACGTCACGGGCCACTTTATGAAATTTATCGGCGACGCGGGCCACAAACCAACAAATTAGGTACAAAGTTGATACAAAAAAATAACAAAAGATGTCTGAATATATTTGTTGAAATTATACTTGAATCTTCCACAAAACGAGACATGAAACATATTCATTTACTTGTGCTGGAGCAAAAGGCTGATTTTTTACCTTCAATTGTTAAACAAAAATATTACCGCTGTTACTTCACAGGCCTCCAGCATACACCCTTTAATAAAGCTTCATTCAACGAAAGAACACGACTATTTCGCAATCATCTCACTTATGGCAAAGCTTGCTTGCACTGAAGCTTCACAAGTTTTGTTTATGTCTGAAAAATGTGTTGGAGATTCCTGCTTTAGGTTAATGACGTTTCACACACGCGAGGGAAAGCGATATGTGTTTTTCATAAAGAACGCAGAGTTGCCACGCTGCAACGTAATTGCGAAACGTCGCTGCGTATCGAAGTAATTAGGGAACGTCGTTGTTTAACACAAGTTCGCGCAGCCGACATGTGAAGATTTGGAGAACATTAAAATAGCTTATAAAATTTTACTGGTGCAGGATAAATTCAATCTAATGATACCATTCGAAACAAGGGCCAAGTTAAAACAAGGACGAACCGAAGATTTTAGTATTTAATTCAAAGTTTTTTCAAAAAAATGTCACGCGTTTCAATTTTGCCGATTTCTGTACGTTTACATACATTTACCATGATATTAAGTCTGTTGAAGTGGGGAATACAATCCTCAAAATCGATCAAAACACAGACTAACAAGTCAGGGATGAAAATTTGATAATAAAACCAGATTTGATTTAATCTATCAGTAAGTGAGCGACTATAGTGTACTTTCAGTGGCAAAAGTTCTCTCTATCTGACAAGAGAATTAGTATTATTTCTCGCAGGATTGTACGTACAGTGAGAAAAAAATCGCTTAACGCTAGCATCGGCCATAAGGTTAAGAGGATATAATCTGCAATGAACCGAATCATATTGCCGTCAATTACTCCTGGATGAGGATTTTCACTACGACGACAAATGAAATGTTGAAATTCATGTTGAACCCTTACAGTGCCATTGGCAGGGTACCCTAGCACAGGGCTACTCAACTGGCGAACCGCGGTCCGAATCCGGACCTTTCGAGTATTCAATTTGGACCGCAGCTGCTTCTTGACATCGAATGCATCGTCTTGATGTAATGCATTTTCAGTTTTTTAGACAAGTTGGTAAACATTGTTTTTGTGACTTTGCATTCGTTTGTCAGTTTTTTTAAATTGAAAATTAGAACAGATAACCCAATTTTGCAAAATGGTATACTCTCCCTTCTCAGAACCAAGATTGAAATGATTGGCTAGCAAAAACGAAAAAACGTAATTTCTTAGACTAACAATCGACAAATAACTGTGCTATTAGACACGAAGTCGAATAATGCAACGTTCTAATAAAATTCTTGTGGACGTTGGGGTTCATCTTAACATTATTTGAAAAATAGTTTTTCTCCGCAACTAATATATTCTTAAATTTTCAGTTTCAAAGATAATTCAAGTAGCTGGAAGACTTATAAATATATATATTTTTACGGGTGTTGTGCGGTCGAATATTTCAAATTTTTTCAACAAAGCCGGCGTTTAGTTACACAACTGAAGCGTTGTCATACCGGCACCGAAGCGTGATATTGAGAATATTGCTCTTGTATTTGCCAAACGATGCATTTAAAATTTCGTTTGCATACTTAAAATAAAAATATATATTTCAGGATGATGGGACCGCGGTAATCCTCAAATTTCGTGAACGGACCTTTTGTGAAAATAGTTGAGTAGCCCTGCCCTAGCATATTTTCCCCACCTCCATTCGGCCATTGGATTGGGTACCCCACCAACGACATCCAACAGTTGTGGCTAAACAGCTGTTCGGTTACGTGTGTAACGACCCTTGTTTTGCCTGTTAAATGACTTCATGTATTATGGTTCTATATTTGGTATTCTAGGACCCTTGTTTTATTTGTTAAATGACGTTATGTGATATCGTTTCCATATTTGGTATTCTAGCAGTTTAGACGCTGCGACACGGTCGATCGGTTCTCTGCGCCAGCGTGGTCTGTTGGTGTATGCTGTGCCTGTGTGTGACAGAGTGCAGTCGTCTGAGTGTTTCGGTTAGATTGGTGGGTTTTGAATGTCTGTGTGAATGCCTCTGGTCTTCAGGGATGTTTGTCTGTGTTGTGTGACTGTCGGATGTTTTGTGCTGGACAGTGGGCTGACGTAGGGACCATGTTATTGTTTTTATCAGTACAGTGCCATTACAGTTCATTTACCGTAGTGTTGTATTTTCAGTTTTATCGTGGAATTAGCTTTCATCAGTATTGTTCAAATGTTGTGCACCTATAGAATTGTTCATAGTCTTTTTAAATGCCTGTCATAAGTTACTTTCGGCCTGTTTTGCAAATTGCAGTAGCTAGTTCATTGTACCAGATTCTAGGGGTCATTTGGTTTTTTATTCAGAGTTGTCTTGGATTTCAGGGTTGGTCAGTGTTTTTGTTGTGTATGTGGTCTTTCTTGCATTTTACTGCCTGGTATCTGTTATTTTTATTTTATGCTTTTCGTTCCTTTGGGGAGTGTTTGGTTGTTTTGGATCGTTTACTGTTCGAGTTGTTAATAAATGACATAAAATAGCATAAAGACTTGGACTATTGAGAGAAAACTTGACGTCAGATCATATTAGAAGGTATTCTGAACCTGGATAATTATTTCATACATTGCCGGTACGCTACACGTGTATGGAAATGTGGTGTCTGGCTTCTGTATGATAAATATTTACGTCACACAAAGATGG